AATTGAACACATTTCATTAAAAACAAAAGTAAGCATACTCAAAACTCACCACTTCCTATTTATTTTTACTACCTTTTATAATTATTATACTCTTGAAGTTATCTCTGTTTAATGAATCTGCATTATGGAAATGCTACATGTTAGTGTACTACTGAGTCCCTCTTCCCATCAGTGACCTCACCCTGATAGTGTGAAGTCACTGTGACGGAAGTATTTACATTAGAGAAATCAGCAAGTGCTACAACTCAGAGCTTGATTTATTGTTTCATGGATTCTCTTGACTTAAGGAAGCAGATTTTTATAAGTGTTTTACGTCAATAGGTATTACATTATGAATAGCATTCAAACCAGCAAAGAAACTGCTCCTGTCTACATGGTTCTTTATGATTCACGTTCATCTTCCTAATAATGAACACATCAGTTAACACTGACAGTGGATTTTACAAGAAATAGCAAGACACTGAAGTTTTGTTATGAAATTTATAATAAAGAGTATTTCATATTTTACAAAGTAAATCATCTGCCACACATCTTTTAAATCAGCAATATTTATGACATTATACTCCCAGGTATCCAGTGAAACATGTTATCATAGCACTGGTTGTGTGCTTTGTGGCCTAGCTGTTTCTAGTCCTAGTATTAGTGTTTTATTGGTGGTTTTTAAGCCTTGTGATGCCTTGACACCTTGCCTCAGAAGCGAAGACTCCAGGGATTGCACATTTCTGACCTACCTGGGTGCTTCCTGCAGAAGGAGGCATTTCAAGCTATGAAGGTGGAAATTCCATAACCCTGCCCTGAATCTGGTATCTAAATTGCTAAGCCTCCAAGCCAGGATGAGTACTGAGGGATCATTATAAATTTTATTTTGGGGCCTGGAGCAGAAATTCAGCTTCAATATTGCCAAAGTTGTCTAGATGACTCTAGCCACCCCATGCAACTGCCTATGCCTCCCCAGCTTACACATTGGTGTGGGCATTCTCTTGACCATACAAGTCTGTAAAACTGAACTACACCATCAGCACAGCACCACACGCAGCTTCGTCCCTTCCCTGGGAAGGCATATGTCTCTTGTCCATTCTCCCTCCCAGGGGCAGGTGCTAACCAGAGTTTCTAAAGGTGGTTGTGCAGCAAACATCAATACTGAGGTGCTTGTAGTTAAGAAATCTTCCCTAGTTTAGTGCTTGTTAAGCAGTTAAACAATTTTAAGGTGTCTGAACTCAAAGATTTCTAAAGCATCTAAATGCATAAGAAAGAAAGCCTTTTATACTTTATATTTTAAAAGTAGTGCTCAGAATACCATTTGTATTCATACAATAAACCAGTTTCCAAAGTTTCTCAAGGAGGACTCTGTGGTGAGAAGCAGTAGAAATGGCATGTCTCTGGCTGGCCCCAAACCAAAAATCAAACCCACTGTTAATTGATTCAATGCCAACTCAGAACTGCTCCATAGGGTTTCCTTAGCTGTAATCTTTATGACAGCAGATCACCAAGACTTTCTTCCTTGGAGCAGCTGGGTGGATTTGAACTACCAAACTTCAAGTTGGTACTTAAGTTCACATCATGGAGCCAAATATTTTTTAACCAAAGTTCTAAAATGTACCCCAAAAATGAGAATCAGAGAAGGCAAGATTTGGGGAAGAATGTTTTATCTATTTATCTGAATCCTACTGAGAAACAAACCTTTTTATTAAAGTACATTCCCCTTGCCCCCACCATGTTTTCAAGGTACATAGTTTGTATTAATAATGGCAATGTTTCCAACATCAATATAAATGAGAAAAATCACATATATTCTCCCATGTGAGTAAATGAATTCAAGAGAGGTTTACAGGTTTTCAAGGTACATTTTGTAAAACAAGGATAGGAATTGAAGTAAACTTTTAAAAGTTGAAATATAACCCATAAGATAGGGCATTAATCAGAAGCATCCAAAATTGAAAAAACCAAACCCATAGTGTTGAGTTGATTCTGATTCATAGCAATACTACAGAACAGTTGAACTACCTCACAGGGTTTCCAATTGTAAATCTTAATGGAACCAAATTGTCACATCATTCTCCCACAGAGCAGCTGCTGGGTTCAAACCACCAACCTTTTGATTAGAGGCCAAACTCTGTAACCACCGTAGCTTGAGAAATTTCCAAAATGTATTTTCAAGATGAAATGTTATTTACAATGTTTACTCCTTATATATTACTGTGTGTTTTTGTGTATATCCCCCCACCACCCCACCCTCCACCACAGCCACCCCCCAAAAAACAACAACAACAACAAAAAACCCAGAGGGAATGGAAGCAAATACTGTTGGATGATGATACACAGAAGAGATTGTAATCATTGCAATGAAATGATGAGTGTAAAACTGATGTTCTCCCATGTAAACTACCACTCAATTCACAACAAAAACTTAAAAATAAATAAATAAAAAAGATCAAATTAAAAATAGGCACACACAAAAAATGTTTACTCCTGTGTAAAGTTAATTTTCTTTGATATTGATGTGGAAAATAAGCAGCTACTGAAAAGTTAGATGCATTAATATTCAAGCCAAAAAGCAAAATTGCTGTGTGATACGGATGATTTGCTGAGTTAAGACAAACAGGATGCCTTTCTTTTTAGGTGTTAGGTGTGAAAGAACTCCGCAGGACAAAAGCCCAAGAGGAGGGTGGGGGAGGGGCCCTAACCGAGGCTGTAGAGCCCTTCTCACAGCCAGCTGTTGGCAGGAGAGACTAGTCAGGGTGGGGCTGTTGCTCAGGAGATGCTGCAGCCTTGGTGCCTTGTCTACCAAGTATAGTTGTAGCAGAGCTGATGGGAGAGAGACCCTTGGCTTGATTTCCTGCCTACAGACAGACAGAAACCAAAAGCCAAACCCATTGCTGTCAAGTTAATTTCCACTTGACAGCATCGTGGCAACCCCACTATTTTTTTTTTGGTTTTGTTTTGTTTTTAAGAATGAGACGTAAAAATATTGTTTTATGATCACACTGATCTACAGTACTAATGTCCATAAAATGAGAAATATTTTTTGGCTTTTATTATGTTTATTCAATAATAAACAGAAAATATAAGGGTAAGTCAACCCCCCACGTGTTTTGCGGAACTGCACTCCATAGTGTTTTCTATGGAGAAGGGCTGAACTCTCTTGGATGTATATCATCAGGCTTTCTTCTGTGGTACTGCTGGGTGGATTCAAACTACTAATGTTTCAGTTAGTAGCTGAGGGTGCACCATTTGCACCACTTGGGGACCTTGGACAGACAGAAGGAGTCTAGGAAACTGGCCACCCATAAACATGTGCCTCTCATACCTCTGAAGCCAGGCCTCATGCTGAAATCGTGGTCATCTATCCTCAGAAGCTGCTCTGATTTCATCATTTGTGACTTGGTGATGTCCGGGCTTTCTTTCAGAATTGGGCTGTGGAGGAAAAACAGGTTGATTGCAGATTCTAACCTGTTTAGATTAAAAAATATTGACACTCAGGCTCTTGATGGTGACAAGTTTGACAGGGTGTATTAGTTCTTTTCTTAAGCGTCTGGGTATTTCCTCTCCCTTTCTCTAGCTTTCTGAATAAATGAACTGACCTAAAAGATCCAAAACAATACTTCTCAACGATGATGACTCATTAAAATCACCCCAAGAGTTTAAAAATACTGATGCCAAGGCTTTGTCCCAGAGACTCTGATTTAGGAGATCTGAGATGGGGCCTGGAAGTTGATATTTTTAAAACCCAGATAATCTAAATGAGTAACCAAGACTGAGAATGGCTGGTCCTAGGGGCAGCTGTGGGCTGAGCCTGGCGTCCTGGAGCCTGTGTGGAGGCAGAATGGACTTAACCCTGTGGAGGCAGAATGGATTTAACCCTCATGTTCAAGGTCAACTATTTGGTCCCCATGCCAATAAGAAGCTAGCTAGTGTGGCTGCTGCTTCTGAATTGCTGTTGTTGTTCTTAGTGCCGTAAAGTCAGTTCCAACTCAAAGTGACCCTGTATAGAGTTTCTGAGGCCTTTTTTTAAAAAAAAAAAAAAAAAAAACCTCTGTGGGAGCCGAAAGCCTCATCTTTCTCCTGCGGAGCGGCTGGTGGGCTCAAACTACAGACCTTATGGCTAGAAATCCAGTGCTTTTTGTATGGAGCCACCACGCTCCCCTGAATTACAGTTAGCACTATTTTAATTTATTTTCACTTTTTTAGAAAAGGTAATATATTCATAGAGTTATAATTTTTTAAAAGGCAAATGCAGTGAAAATCCGCCTCCCCCCTCGACCTTCATTCAATCCATTTCCTCACCCACAGGTATCTCTCTTGCTGTTCCCTATTCACTGCTCAAGGTTTCTTATATGTTCAAGTAAATATAAATATATATTCCTTTTTATATACAAATTGAACATATTATGTGAACTCTTCTATATTTTTGTGGGATCCTGGTGTGGTGTGTAGGATAAGTACTGGACTGCTAACTGCAAGGTTGATGGTTCAAACCTACCAGCCAGTCTTTGGAAACCCTATACAGGCTCGCTATGAGTTGGAACTGACTTGATGGCACTTAACAATAACTATATTTTGTTTTTGTTTTTTTTAAGGTTTTAATTGTGGATTGACTGAAAGTTTACAGGGCAGATCATCAGTTTTACATTCAACAAATTATATACCTTGTTTCATTACAATGATATAATCCCCTCCATGTACCATCAGTTAACAGTATTTCTCTCTATCCACTTTAGCATTTTAAAAAACAAACAAACACTCAGGCATATATAATAATTACACTTCCAAACGGCACATTCTGCAAGTCTGCCTCCTGGCCACCAGTCTGTTATGCCCAGAATTCAGGGTC